TGTTGTTGTTTTGTTTTGTTTTGTTTTTTGTTTTGTTCCTGTTCTTTATCCAACCTTGGTTTCAACAATTCTCGCTCATATAAACCCTCCTCTTTCTCGCTAATTAGACTCCCGGCACTCCACCCGGGGCCTAGCCGTGGATGTCTGCATCCAGATTCCTCAGTCCTTGGATGGGGTTTCTGGCATGACTATTAGGGTGTTTGGCCACCCCATCACCAGAGTAGGTCAGTTCCGGCTGTCTCTCAACCAGTGCCAGCAGTCTATTGTGGGGGTATCTTTGTGTATTTCTATGGGCCTCTCTAGCACTTTGTTTCTTCTTTTTCTCATGTGGTCTTCATTTACCATGGTCTCCTATTCCTTGTTCTCCCTCTCTGTTCTTGATCCAGCTGGGATCTCCCACTCCCACAGGCTCTCTTTCCCTCTACCCTCGCCCTTTATTACTCCCACGCATGTCCAGATTGTTCATGTAGATCTCAGCCATTTCTCCGTCATGGGGTGATCCCCGTGTCTTTCTTGGGGTCCTGTTTTCCAGGTAGCCTCCCTGGTGATGTGAGTAGCAGTCCAGTCATCCTTGTTACACCTCTAGTATCCTCCTATGAGTGAGTACATACCATATTTGTCTTCTGAGTCTGGGTTACCTCACTCAGGATGATTTTTTCTAGATCCATCCATTTGCCTGCAAACCTCATGATGTCATTAAAGCATTCAATTTTTAAAACAAATACTTCATTAAGTGCTCGCATGTTCTAACAGGTATTTTGCTAATTCCTTTGAACTTTCAGTACGTTATCTGTAACAGCATCTCTCCATCTTATAACATGGCCATGCTTAGTCACTCAAGTCAGTACTGCTAGTGATCATCCTCACTTTCATCTTCTCTTTAGTAGGGATAATTCTAGCCTTAGTTTTGTAAGCGCCCCAAATAGGGGCCATTCAGGAATATGTTCTGTTTTTTATTATTTTATTATCAAGTGGCATTACTATTAGGTCATCTTTTTTTTCTATTTTTACTTGTTATAAAAAGTTACTACTAATAATATGTTTCTTAGAATCACTCTCACTTGCTAATGCAGTGTTGGTCTTTGGATATAATATATGTTTTGCTTGTTAGTATTTTATTAAGAATGTTACACCAGTTTTCTTTTCCAACTTACGCATGTGTCTTCTTTTTGTGTGTATGTGGTGGTGGTGGTGGTGGTGGTGGTGGTGGTGGTGGTGGTGTGTGTGTGTGTGTGTGTGTGTGTGTGTGTGTGTGTGTGTATGCCTAAGGAGGCCAACAGAGGGAGTTGGATTCCCTGGAGCTGAAATTACCGGCAGTTGTGAGTCAGTGGACATGGGTATTGAAGCCCAAACTTGGGTGTTCTGCATGAGCAGTGTGCACTCTCCATAGCCAACCCATCTTTATAGCCCCCCTCCCCCAAGTTTATTTCTCTTCTTTTCTTTCTTTCTCTCTCCTCCTCCTTCTCCTCTTTCTCCTCCTCCTCTTCTCCCCAGGCCCCATTTTCGTGGTGCTGGGGATCAAACCTGTGACGGATCTTGCACACATTAGACAAGCACCATGGAGGAACTGCCTCCCCACCCTTTGCAACGATAACTCAGAGTTGGTTTTAAATCCCTTGTTCTATTTGATACAGAATGTAGATTCTAGGATAGTCAAGTAATTCTGGAGGGTTCATTCTTTTATAAAAGTTTAAATAGCACTGGAAACTTCTGTTCCCCACAAAGTCTTGTAGAAATCCACAGGGGGAGTTAGGGCTTCACCTGCTGCAAGGGAGCTCTTCGTTAGCTTTCTCACGTCTTACAGTGTTCCTCCTGCCTTTTACAGTTCTCTGTCACTTTTTGATCAACTTGAATAGTTCAAAACTTAATAACAAAAAATTAAAATTATTTTATATTTTTGAAATCATATATAACTACAGATTTCCACTGATTTTTATTATTTCATTCTTCAAGGCTTTATTGGGTGATTTTTATTACCATATACACTTTATCTTTTATTCATTTCATGTTTATATTTTTAAATTTGTTTATTTCTACTTGCCTGAAGATTCCTTACAAAATAATCTTTGTGTTTGAAGTATGGAAGACTTGGAAAAATCACAAGAATATCTTTCTTAGGGTTTCCATTGCTGTGATAAAACACCGTGAGCACACGCACTTGTGGAAGTTTATTTTAGGTCATAATTAGTATTCACAGAAGGAAGTCAGGGCTGGAACTGAAGGCAGGATCCTGGAGGCAGGATTTTGAATTAAAAATCTGTGTTTCTGGTTAGCTGGGTCTGGAGAACCAGCTGTGATTAACAAAATGCTTCTCTCTTCCTCTGGATTTTTAGGACAGAGTCTCTGTGTAATGGTCCTGGCTGGCCTTGAACCCACTTTGTAGACCAGCTTGTCCTCGAAATAACAGAGCCTGCCTCTGCCTCCTGAGTGCTGGGATTAAAGGTGTGCACCACCACACCTGGCTGTTGGTCTCTTTTTAATCAATGCTAATTTCTCAGCTCCAGCTAACCAGCATCAATTGTTCAGGCAAAGCAAAGGTTTGGCTTGAGTGGTTCTTAGTTCAAAGTGTACAGTGGCCCTGCCAAAGTCTTTCAGTGATTCTCAAACGTCCTTCTGGAACTTCCCAATCCAGGTCTCCCTCCTCTCCATTGCTGCCAGCATTCATTCCTTCCAGGCTCCCACAGAATAGCCTACTGATCTCTGAGCACTCAATAGCCCTTCCTTCCACAGTCCTGCCAAGAGGAAATGGTCAGGTCTGTCCAAATACCCCACAATCCTGGTACCAATTTCTGCCCTGGTTAGGGTTATTATTGCTGTGAGGAAACACCACGACCCAAAGAATCTTGGGAAGAAAAAGGTTTATTTCAGCCTACAAATCCATTGTTGAGTAGCCTGGAGGCAGGAATAAAAAACCATGGAGGAGAGTTGCTTACCGTTTTGCTCAGCCTACCTTCTTATATACCCCCAGACTATACTGCCCAGGGATGGTACCTCTTACAAAGGACTGGGCCCTCCCATATCAATTATTGATCAAGAGAATGTCCAACAGGCTTGCCTACAGGCCAATCTTATGGAGGCATTTTCTTAATTAAACTTTCTTCTTCCCAGATGGCCCTACCTTATGTCAAATTTACATAAAAGCTAGCCAGCACAGCATCTGCATTGTAGAATGCATTCTAGCAAGACCCACTGCTTCAGTTAACAGTGCGCCCTAGCCAGCACGGCATCTGCGTTGTAGAATGCATTCTATCATGACCCACTCACTGCTTCAGTTAACAGTGTCCCCTAGCACTAGTTTTTCCTCACAGGATGTTTCCTACGGGGGCTTGGACATCTGGGATAACTATGAAAAAAAGACTTGGAAGACAGAAAAATATTCTGGCTGATTAAAAATGTACATATAATACTCTGAGAAAAGGCAAATGTATATGCTTCAAACTAGATAAATACTATCTAGTGTCAACCTGCATATATTTTGGCTTAGATACTACAAGCAAAAGGATTCTTAAATGGATCATAATTTCACAGAATGAAATTGATTTGTTTTCTTCTTTCATTTGGTTCATTACATTGCTGTGGATCAAACCCAGGGCTTCAGACTTGGTAGGCATGCTCTGCCATTGAGCTGTATCCCTATATTCCTCCTTCCCTTCCTCCTCCCCTCCTCTCACTCACAAGGTGTAGTTATAAGAAGCCCAGGCAGGCCTTTTGTCCTTGGTTGAGATTACAGCCATATGTCACCACATAGAATTATCTTAATGACTGTCTAATGTAAAGATAAACATCCTATCAAATCAGTTTAAAAAGTTCAAGTCATTTCTGGTCTATCTCACATGTAGGTAGAAACATATCTGGATTGCCTTCTTGTACTCAGCCCTGAGGGTATTCTAGAGTAGATCACATTTTCCTCTTATCGTGTATGACTGTGCTATTCCTTTTTTCCGTGTGTGTGTGTGTGTGTGTGTGTGTGTGTGTGTGTGTGTGTGTGTGTGTGTGTGTGTATCTTCTAGGCATCATTGTCTGAAAGTTGGTGTTCTCGTGTGAATGCCAAGCTTCCATAGAGAAATACATCTTACATTTGCCTCATCCCTTCCTTAATTGGTTTACTAAATCACTAGTTGATAGTTGGATTAAAATTGCAATAAAATATCAATGCTTGGTAACAGTATAGAATATTATCTTCTACAAACATTTCTGTTTTTATAGAAAACTATTAGAATTATAATGTTTGGACCTTACAGAACTGGAAGTAGAGAGACCCTTGGCTGGTATTTGAACAGAATAGATAACTTTGAGTGCAAAGCCAAGTTTATCAACTAGAAGAGAATATATGAACTTTGTCACGGTATAATTTTGTAGGCGCATTTTACAAACACATTGAATTATCTTGTTTTTACTTATAGCCTGGTGGAATGAAGGCAGGAACGTTTGAACCTTACCCAGCACACTCAGCTGACCCTTATGTGGTTAAAATGGGAAAGGTGGTTCCTGGAAAAGGGGAAAAGATTTTCCATCCACCAAATGGACCAAAAAGCAGACCCATAGAAAGTATAATGGCGCTGAATGTCAAAAGGTAGGCTTATCTTATATTTAGTCCATAAACCAAGAAAAATTTCTACCTTTTAGATGTCTTAGCAAATACATTATGACTTTTATGTGTATAAGTATTTTTCCTGCATGGATGTATGTGTACCACGTGTGTACCTAGTGCCTGAATAAGCCCAAAGAGGGAATCTGATGCCATGGAACTGGAGTTACAGATGGTTGTGAGCTGCCATGTAGGTGCTGGGAACTGAAGCTGGGTCCTCTGCAAAACCAGCAAGTTTTCTCAACCACGGAACCATTTTCAGTTCCACAATACATGGTTTTTTAAGTGGCAGATGTGAGCACAGGGACTGGAGAGATGGCTCAGTGGCTGATCTCCTCGAGAACCTGGATTTGATTCCCAGAACCCACACAGTGGCCCAAAACCATCTGTAACTCCCATGCTAAGGGGATCTGAAACTTTTTTTGGCTTCTGCAGGCACCTTGTGGCTTATAGACATATATGCAGGAAAATACACACACAAAATAAAAAATGAATCTTAAAAATAAGGAAATCCCAGTATATTCCATATAACTGCCTTCCCTTATAGAAGGTACTTTTTTATGAGTCACTTGAGACTACTTGAACATCTGTATAAATTAACTGTTTCTCACCAACTGTGTGGAATCCTAAGGACCCTTGAGAGTTCTGTCCCAACTTTGAAGTGTGGCCATTACCTGCTAAGTTCTCTTTCCTCTTATTTAAATACCTTCTTTGCTTTAGTCACACAAAATTCATTTTATACCAACTATTATTTAGCCCGCCTGATACATTGCTAATGAGTTGGTTCATCTGCTTCCCACATGCTTTCTACTGGCTTTTCCCCCATACAGTCTTGGCTAATATCCTCAGGTAAAGCTTCTACTGAAGCTCTCTATACAACCGGTCTGTTATGGATTATTGTTGTATGTTAGGCCTTATGTTATAGGTATTTTTGCACATGTAGCTGTATGATTCTTATATTGTCAGACCAAATGGTAAGTTAATAGTGTTTAATAGTAATTTCTTGATTGTTTGTAAATATCAACAGTGTTAACTACAGAAGGATGTGTATTTCTGTTGCCTTAACTCTGTGATACTAGGTGCCCATTTGTGTTAAACCTCATTAGGAATACTGCAATTAATGTCTTTTCCATGAACTCATCTCTTTTAATGTAATGATATTGCAATTATCTAGAATGTAGTACACTCAGATTTTATGTTAAACAGCCATTTTTACAAATGCCAGTACAAAAATACGTTGACTTAAGTAGCTGTGAAATCATCCAGTGGTAAATAGGAGTCAAGCTGTGCAGTTCAGGCAGTCTCTGGCTCACAAAGCAATGCGGATGAAAGGGCCTCATTAGGTTCAATACAGAGCTAATTCTAAAATTGCTGTGTGCTACTGGTTATTCATGTAGGTTCAGATGAACAGACTTTGGAGCTCTACTTTGCTGATGATTGAAGATGGTGATGATGATGATGGGGATGTAACTGATGTATATGTATTTCATCTATTTTTCAAAGTACTTTACAATTCTGTGGAGTGAAATAGATTTTTGCCTTAACAAAATTAAGATATTCTGAAAGAACAACTAAAACTGAGGCATTTGTTTAAGGATCTTCTCCTTACACAGCCAGGTGACTCAGTTACTCTGCACATGAGAGTAAACTTATTTAGGCTGCTGTGGTTTAGGAATGGTGACCTGTGTTGGCTGAGTGTTGGATGTGGACAAGGGAGACGTGGTACTTGTTTTCTGTATCCTTTGGCCTCGTTCTCTGCTAAGCCACCTGCCAGTTCTCTGCCAAGTTCATCTAATAGAACAGAAAATGAAAGCGGACTTTTCTCTATCACACCCACCTTCAACCAGATGGGACATTTTGTGGGGCAGTGTCAAGTTTTCCGTGGTCTCTTCTAACAAACCCAGAAGGTTCTCTGATACACTAGTAGTAAGTTTAAAGTGGAGGAGCAGCAATAGACTGTTCCTTGGAAAAACCAGAAGTTTATTGTGTGTTAGTCACTTAGTTTATAAATTCTCTTTTTACGTGATCATTAATCACTTGTAATCCAGTTTTAAGTTCTCCTATACTAATTTAAAAACTAATAAAGTCACAGATACTAGATGTGAAGATATATTTTATATTTTTTCTTCTTCTTAGATTTTCTAAGTATACTTGACTTTATTACAGTTTCTTAAGTTGATGCGATGATTTCACTTGTGAGCTGGGGTTCCACTGAGCTTAGTAAGGGATTCCATGTCTGGCATGTGAGGCCTGATTTTAACCCCAGTACCACAGACTATTGCTATGGGATGTCAGGTTATAGAATATATTAGTTTAGCTTTTTAATGCAAGTATTCAAAGACTGTAAAGGTATGTTACCCAGACTAATATGATTAAGTGTGCATTTATTTTCTAATTTGAGGGCACTGAATGTGAAGAATTACAAGAGTGTCTCAGCAGACACACTGGGGAAGCAGCTGGTTTTCTAGCTTCTCTCAAGAACTCCCTGGAATATGCAACGTTATGGAATCCGTGATCCCACAGCATTTAAAGGACATTTCAACACGAGACTCAACTGTAACATCCTTCCTGATTTTAATGCTGTTTAATAAATAGTGTTGGCTACCGACTTACTCTGGGGTTGCTGACGTGTGTTTTTGGATCTCCATTTCTAGGTACAATGTAATCTTTAAAAAAATGCCAAATCTTGAAACGTAATCTTTCATTTGAAAAGTTTTACTCCTTATGGTAAAGAACTGTAGGGTAGGAGGGGGAAAGGGAGGGCCTGGTGAAAGTACACAACCAATTCTTCACTTGCTGGGTCCTCTTAGGGACTGTAGAGAATTACATCGAGAGTTACCCGGGTCTTGCGGTCTATCTAAACTCTCTTAACATCGAAGATAAATTCCAGATCCACTTCTATGACACAACTCATGTGCACGTACTGCATTGTAGTGAGACATGTGCTTTAGTGTGAATGGTATCCCACCTTCTATTTAGGCAAATAGAAGAGCTGTGGCAAAGCCTGGCATTATTTCATTCATGTTAATGCATAAGCTGAAGGTGATCTCTTAACTAGAACAGGATAGGTGAACTCTGTCTTTGGTGGTCTGTCCTGTTCTTCACTAGCTGCCCCAAATCATCTCTCCTGCAGCATCCTATATCAGTCAGACTCTGGAATTCTGCTTTAAAAGATGCAATTGTAAATAGCTGTAGCTCACAAATCACACGGTTAAATGAGCAATTGCATAGATTTTAATAAAATCTACAAATACAAACCTATTCTATCAAAAGAATGCATATCTGTGTAGGGTCTCTTTAGTATTGTCTATTAATATGCAACTACAATTTGTTTCCTGCAGTTGGCTGTATGGAACTAGTGATCCCATTCCTGTTTTGAAGACCAGTGCCACCAATGAACCACAATACATTACATGCATAGGGATCCATAGACATCCATCATTGTTTGCCACACCAACTCCAGTGTCGTCCGTGTGACATAAACAATTATGTCAATAATAGCGGATGGGAGATACGTGTCCCACGGGACTAAGTGCCCTGGAGGTCCCTGGCAGAGTGCCCGTGTTATGCCTCCTTCTCCAAGGAGACGTGCTTCACAGATCATGAGCTCTCTGGGCTATGGGTTCTGTATAACTGCTTTTCTGATAATGTTCTAATTAATCTATAAAACACAGCCAAAATTAAGAAATGCTTGGGTTGTAAACTATGGAGGAAAGGGAAAGCTGGACATGGACCTTATTTAGATATAACAAAATGAACTATTCCTTAAAGACCTCAAGCCTCAAGCCGCTAGATAATAAAAAGTATAATAGTTCAGGCACTTCTAGGGAATGAACACTCACCCACTAGGAATCCTTTAGGAATCCCAACTAAAGTGATTTATGACAAAAAACATTATCTCATAGGAGGCAGATAGTGGGCCCCTCTGTTGAGGAAGTTCAACATGGAAAACTTAAGGACTACAACAGAATCCTTTCCCCTTACAGGTGTAAAAGTACAAGTGTCCATATTCCAACAGGTAAAAAGATTTTATATTAAAAGAGATATATGGTAAAAAACTAAAGAAAGACTTAGGGAGGATCTACAGCATCCAAATTGACTAAATGGGTCATGAGAACCAAAAAAGTAAAAATAAATAATAAACTAGCGAGCGGCTGAGATAAAGATGAAGGACACAACTGCAAGAAGCCTACACAAGTCTAGGAACTGTACTAAGTTTAAAAAACACAGACTGCTCTTTGGGTCACAAAGTTCTTGTGAGTAAAAGGATATGTCTAGCGCTGATTAATAACTGTGTGCTTGATGTTTTTTAAAGATGATGTAATTGAATTATTGCCAAGCTTTTGTTGTTCCCTATATGACTTGATAGTTTTCTTTTCTGTATATAAACTACTGATTTACAGAAGTAAAATTGCAACAGATTCAAACCACTTTTGAGTGTGTTGTCTGTCTGTCAGTCGCCGAATCCTTGCCTTCCTGACTACCCAAGCCCTGATTCTCCTACAGTCATGGTACTCCCGGTGGGCCAGTCCGTGACAATTGTTGTTGGTTTTCTTTACTCTTTTGGGGGCCCCCCACCACCCAGCTCCCAAATAAATCACACACAGATGCTTGTTCTTAATTAGAAATGCCCGGCCTTAGCTTGGCTTGATTCTTGCCAGCTTTTTTTTT